CCCCCCACCCTTACTCCCTCTCCTGGGCTCCTGACTCTTTCTCCTCCCTTTCTACTGCTACTCCTTGGCTCCTCTTACTGCTGGCGCACCCTTGATCTTAGGGTAAGCAAGATCTAAGACCTAGCCTCATCGGATAAGGGCAAAAAATCTCGGAGGTCACGTTTGCAAGTTGCACAAGTCAAAGATTCCTTGGTGGCTCTAAAATCGTATGAGCAGGCTTCAGCCGCCCCGGGCCAAAATTTAAAAAAAAATTCTACCAAACTGAAAATGTTAAATGTATCCATCGCGCTCATATAATCTTAATGCAGTTGTAAGCGCCGTAAAACACTTACAAAAAGGATGAAGAATGTTTTGACATTGTGTTACAAACCGACTCTATAGGGAGGATTGTGTTTGGGGCACAGAATCAAACAACACGTTAAGACAAGACACGGAAGTGTTGAATTAATTTGAAACATGAACTCAAAGCGGTCAGTGGACTCTGAAAGAACACGTTCGATTATTTTTGGTGTGCTTTTTGTTTGTTTGCTTTTTTTTAGTGTGTGTTTTTAGCTGTTTGTTTGTTTGTCGTTTTATCTAAACTTCTTTGTTTCTTTGTCTACTTGGTTGGTTGGGTGGTTGTTGGTTTTTTTGTAGGTAGGGACGAAGGGGGAGGACGATATTTGATCTGAAAGGAGAGCACCAACAGTGCCACCATGGATAATATTTTTTTGCCCGCAGACAAAGACTTAGATACCAGCTGCAATCGTAGATCTTGGCGTTTGGGGTCGACAGCGTCTTGTTACAACATTCCACTAAGATCAGGTAGCCGAAGGCGGAAAAACCGCTGACAGTGGGCTTGTTAGAGATAGGCCTTACTCGGTTTACTTATGCGGCGTTCACACATATTGTACAGGAGTAGAGTCGACGAGCAATTCCCGACAAGATAATGCCAAATTCGGGTTTAATCGTGACGAGCATCTGGCCTTTATCGTTGACATTATTGTGTCTGTGAGCACTCGGGGAGACGCTCGCCGAACGTTAATTTAGGACGGCGAGCATCTCGCCGAGCGTCTAACCGAGCAATTAGTTTGAATCCTGGCCACTTGCAGAGCCAAGGAACCCAGCGGCCGAGTAAAATTTCATACGCCGACAAACTCGCCGTACATGCTGACCATCTTTCCAACCGGTAACCGAGTTAGTCGGCGTGCAATGGTATAATATTTAAGAGGGGGGCAAAAGGTTTGTGCTCATTCCTTCAACATGTCCCAAATGACTCAGACGATGGACGTATATTTCATGTATAAATAATAATGGTGTCCTTGCTGTTGTGCTGGTGCAAAAAGAGGAGAAGAGGAGGAAGAGGGGGAGGAGGAGGTGGAGGACCTGTTGGGTTAGACCATGGCTCATAAGAACTTAGGACAGTTTGAGAAGCTGACGGCTGAACTGCAAGTTGAAGATGTGGCATCCTTCAGGAACCTCCTCAGAGCTTTTCCAGAGGTTTTTTTCAAGAACTACTGGAGAAAATTGGCCCCACCATTCACAGGGTAAACCTTTCTTGAGGTAGCCACTGGAACCTGACATCAAGTTGGTTGTCACTGTTCGATACCTGGCAACAGGAAATACAAACTGTAGTTACATTCTCGTCGTCAACCATCACACACAATAAGATGGTCCACTCCTCTCTTTGAGCCAATTAAAAAAGTGTCCTCCAAATTCTGTGGCGCCCTCTTCGCAAATGCGCACCCTTTGCGAACAGAGTTACCCTACTTGTGTGAAAAAAAAAATCAAAGTGAAACTAACTAGTTTTTGAATAAATAAGAATTCAAATTTCGGACGAACGCTTTTCTAAAATGGTTACGCTGACAAAAGGAAGAGGCGACAGTGTTTTTCGTTTAACTTGACTTTAGAATGAGAGGCGAGAGGTCGTTGAAATAAATTTTAGAAAGCTCTACAACTCCGCACTGGACGAACCCGAACAGCTAATGAACAGCAGTCGATCTGCGCACGCAAGAAGGTGCTATTCCTATTCTTCTTCTGGAGAAACGAAAGAGAGCCTCAAAACAAAGACTGCAGCGCCATCTGAACCATTGCGCGGACTTCCGGCGGAGACTCTTTTTGGCTGAGAGGACCATCTTGTTATATACGATCAATGTTGTCGTGTCAACTTTTGCACGCCGTGCTTGAGTAACTCAGAATCCCCGTGCAAAATTTTTACGCAGCGAGCAATAATTTAACTAGCAGAATATGAAATTTAACACGGCAACGCATGCAACTTTGTACGCCGAGATATTTCTGACGTTCCCCGAGTCCTTCCCCGAGGACATATATATATATAATGGTCGACTATATAGGTCACCATAAAGAAAGGTGTTTTTATTCACTTGAAAGCATTGTCATTTTTTATTAAGTTCCGCCAACTATGGAGTGGAAATAATAACGTTGATGATGATGATGATGATGATGATGATGATGATGATGATGATGATGATGATGATGATGATGATGATGATGATAATAATGATAATAGCAATAATAGTATTTTTAATTATAGGGCCTAACTATAATAATTATAATAATCACAGTAAATACAGTGACGTCCAGACGAAACTTGACAATGTAACCACCCAGTCATTGCGTTAAAGCATTGCATTACCCACTCATGCAGCATATCAATTTAAAGCAAAGCTAAATGAATTCTGCATCATTTAAAACATTAATATTTCATCTATGTTGACACCCGAGATATGGTCACTCAAAACTGACCTAAAAAAATCAGGCTTGGCAAATATTTGCGAAATCAGAAACGTAAAAGTTAGTTCGCGGCTATATTGAGGTGCATAAACACTGGTGGTAAACATTGATAGAATGAACTTGTGTTAAATACCAAGTAAACAAAAGTATTGTTGTCTCTGCAATTAACAGTATCTTCTGATATTATTTTCGAACAGATTGGAAAACAGAGTAGTCACAAATACCACACGAAACCTGGACTTAACATTACATGTTCTCATTTTGTTTAAGAGTTATTGACTTTGTGTAGAGCACGAAACTTTTTTGGACATGGACTGTGTAGATCTACATAAGATTTTAGACACAATCATCTGTCAATGAGAAACAAAGGCCACGAAAGTGCCATGGTTTTGGGTGGTTGAGTGGAATTAACAGAACCGCCCTCGTGAGAATCGCTGGATGGCTAAGTTTAGTGAGCTACATTGCGCAAGAGATGGAACGTCGTGTCTTATCCTTATCTTTATCATGGTGTCATTCAAGTAGACATCTCTATCCATAGCAAAGCACTTTCTCA